TTCCCAGGCAAGAATACTGGAGTGGGTTGTCATTTCCTTCTCCAGCGGATCTTCCTGACCCAGGAATGAAACCCACGTCTCCTGCATTGGTAGGCAGGGTCTTTACCACTGAGCCAACCGGGAAGTCCACTTGCTTGATAGCGCATCTTTTATTGGCTGTTCTCAATCCCAGTCTCACTGCCCCGTTCTTTTATGGATGTTTCCTCGGGTCACCCCCCAGATAATCTACTTGTACGTGGGGCTGTATCTCAGGGTGTGCTACTGGGGAAACCCAAATTAAGGAAATTAAGTGGCAAATGAGCAATAGAGTCCATTTCTTAAGCCCACTTTTCCACTTCCTCTGCTGGGATGGTTTTATTTGTCTCTTCTTTGCTTTGCTTCCTTGTCCCAAGGTCTTTGGACCAACTGAGCCAAATCTAAAACCACGGTACCCTTCAGTTACAAGTATGCCAGCTAGAAGGCGTGCAGGGTTGAGGAGGTTCCCAGAAGGTGGAACTTGCAGTGCAAAGTCCTGGGCAAACCAAGACCCATTAGTCACCCTAGTCGGCCACCACTTTTCCCTGGTGGAGTGGGCTGCAGTTCTGAATTCAGAGACCCTGGCCTCTTACGTGTAGCACATCCACACAATCCATAAAACACAACTCTAGTGATGAAGCATCTGGAGTTCCCCAAGTTATTACATACCGTAAGTCCCCTACATACAAGCCTTCCAGTTGCCAACTTTAAAAGATGCAAACATGTTCATGTGTCTGGCGTACATTGTCACATGTATGCGTCCTCCACAAGTTGTTGCACTTTTGTGTACTTTACAGTACTTGTGTAGGTGGTGCTCGTGGTAAAGAACCCATCTGCCAATGCAGGAGACATAAGAGACAGGGGTTCAATCCCTGGGTCTGGAAGATCCCCTGCAGGAGGGCATGGCAGCCCACCCCAGTATTCTTACCTGGAGAATCCCATGACCTAGGAGTCCATTGAGCTACAGTCCTTGGGGCCTCAAAGAGTCAGACATGACTGAAGCGACTTAGCACATACAGCAGACACATAGAGTTTGCCATTCGCTTTATTTCAAGCCCAGGATGTCCAGAAGACAGTGTAAAAGCATAGGCGATGTAGCTGGTTCTATTGTAGTTCTCAAGGTGTGTGTGTGAGTCGCTCAGTCATGTCTGACTCTGCAGCCCCGTGGACTGTAGCCCACCAGGCTCCTCTGTCCCTGGAATTCTAGGCAAGAATACTAGAGTGGGTTACCATTCTCTTCTCCAGGGGATCTTCCCTACCCAGGGGTCGAACCCAGGCCTCCCGCATTGCAGGCAGAGTCTTAACCGTCTGAACCACCAGGGAAGCTGTACTATAAGATTAAAAATAGTTTATTTTGTGTTTGCTTTTTGCGCACTATTTGTATGAAAAGTATTATAACCCTATCACAGTACCGTACCTACAGCTGATTGTGTTAGATGGCTACCTAGGCTAACTTTGTCGGATTTGTGAGCAAATTAAACTTAGGAGCCCACTCTTGGGTCAAAACTCAATTATATGGAGGGGACTTGCTACACTCAAGTGACATAAAGGGTGATTTTGTACTCTGCTAGATATACGTTTATCTTCTTGCATTTTAGGAAAAATTCAGCACAGCAAATGTGTATTCTAGAGACATTCATGTCAAAGAGGATGCTCAGATAGTCACTTAGATTTACTTTTCTAAATGAGTTCATTAGATAAAAACAAATTACGGTACAGATTTTTACACACTCCTGGCAAAAAGTCTTTTAGAAGTTTGTTAGCTATACAGATAATACTAGAAATCATATATTTATACATGTTTAAGTAAATTAAATTCACTCTTTTAATTTGTTAAGTAGATATCTTTTCAACTGTCCTTCAGTAGCCATTCCTCTTAACCTATTTAAAATAAAGGTCTCTATTTGTCAGAATCGCAGACAAATGAAGCCAACAGTCTATCAGGTGGCAGAAAGATTCGATTACTGAGTAACTGCTGGAGCCAGTCACTGGGCAGTTAGAAAGTACATGCTGAGGACTCAGCCTTGGGCCCTCCTCCCTGCATCTAATAGTGGGGGAGGCAGATACAACCCCCACCCTCGGGGAGCTGACAGTCAGGAGGGTAAGACAGATATTAACTGAATACTTACCCAGATAAATACGCAGTTATTGCAACTGAGGTAAACAGAAAAATAATGGGCAGCAAGCTGGGTTCTGATGCACACAGGAAAATGTATCTTTATTTTCTGTAACAAGCCCCAGAGTTGGTGGGGTGGGCAGATGAGAGGACGTGCAGAAATAAATGTACAGCTTGCTCTTTAAGGTGTCTCTGTCTCTTCTGGTTAAAATGCAGCCTCTTTGGGTTCAAAATAGTGTCTTTCAAGTGAACCTCAAAGACGTGTCTCTGAAGTAGAGATCCACACCGTGGGAAGGAACTATAGCTCTGCCATGCCCTCACTGTGAGATTTGGGGCGAGTCTTTCAGGCCCCCGGACCCCAGCTCCCAGTCCGTAAACTGGGCGTAGGGCTGGTGACGCCTGCTCCTCACTGCAGTGTGGGCGGTGAGAGGTAAATTCCCTTTCCGTCAGAGCTCTTCGGTGGCAAGCAACAACAACCGTTAGGCCACCCTTGTTCGGCCAGCAAAAGCAAGAAGGAAACGCGCTGGAAGGAGATTTGGGAGTCTCCAGAATTTATGGGGAGGCTACAGAAGCAGGCGTGAACAAAGGTCAGGACTAAGGCAGGAGCTCAAGCAGAACCGCAGACAGGGGTCACTGCCTTTGCACCCTCTTTGCATCTCGGAGTCACTTCGCTCACAATTCAAAGTCCAGGGTTAAGAGAGTCTGATTTACTGACCTTAGTTCACTTGTCCACCCTCGCCTGCCCTGGAATAATAAGAAGTTTCTACCTCTTTGGCCTCTATAGTGGGAAGTGTGAAGGCTTTGATTAACCATGCTCATGAGGGAAAGATAATTTCTAAAAATGAAAACAGGATCCTGTTGAAAGAGGGGGAAAGTACTGGGAAAGTACATAAAAGGTCACCGAAATGTAAAGTGGTGGTTATTCCATCTTTCTTAGCTTTAGCGGAAGCCTTGTCTGTCTGCGCGTTTGTGGCGGAGGGCGTTGGGGAGGGAGCATCTGCTCCCGTCAAGGGCTTCTTCACACTCTTGTTCCCAGCGCTGCAGCGAAATACAGACACTTGATGGCGAACCTAGGTGCTGAGTTTCAATTTATACTAAATCCAAATTCTTCTCCCAAAAGCATCAACCATAAATAGCAAAGAGATAAATAAGAGTATGTGACGTGTGAGGAAATCCATGGGCTTCATTATTTGTGTATGAAATTACTGATGATAGAAACATGACCAGATTATCATGCATTTTCAAGGCAAAAATAGTAGGTCATGGGGCTAGGATAAATGTGAGGCATAACCATTTGGTTGGGAAAGAAATCTTTTTTAGATTCAAAATAGAGTGAATCATGACCGGACAGTCCAAGAACATAAATTTTACCATCACCATTTACAAAATATTACTATTGAAACTAGGCCATTATGCAAAAAATACAGGTAGTTCCTCAAGAGAAAATACTTCAAACATTAATGTAAATAATAATGTTTTAAAGTTTAAAAAATATAACCACAAATGCAAGAGTTATAGACATAATATTTGACTCTCTTTTTGTTTAAATGCTGTTTCAGAAAAAAATGTCTTCTCTTGGGCACATACATAAAGGTTAAGAAATATTAATATTAGCAGATCATTTGTATATACTAGTTTTGTTTTTCTACCATAAAACAAGGAAAAAAATGCAGGACAGATTTAAAAAATTTTAATGCTTCATCCAAATGATATGTTGAAATATGCCAGAAAGAAAATTTTTTTTCTTTTATTTCTTGGCCACACCATTAGGCATTTGGGATCTTAGTTCCCCTACCAGAGATGGAACCCACACCCCCTGCCTTGGAAGCTTGGAGTCTTAACCACTGAACCACCAGGGAAGTCCCAGAAATTTTTTTAAATAAGCAATAAAGTTAACACAGAAGTTCTCCTACTTCGTGAATTGTTGAAGGAAGAAGAGGGAGGGGAAAACAAAAAAAGAAAGTGAAAAAGAACAAAAAGAACCCAGATTGGTAATGCTAAAAGAACAACTTTACAGCTCAGAAAACTCATATTTGGTTACACCACAAATGCAACACTAGAACCAAGATGGAGTAAGTCACCTCTGAGAATTTTTTTTAATGTTTCATTGACAGTATTTGAATGATCTATTTAACAAACACCAGTTGAATTTCAAAGTGATTCAACACTGCATGAGGCAAAACTATAAGAGGGACTTACTATTTAAATTATCTGATATGTTACTGTCAACATAAGTGTATCCGACATGTGACTAAATTTTGCCTACACAGTTAGAAAATAACAGATAACAAAAGCTTTTAAGAAACACACATTGGTATAAGTTCCATTTTCTATTATCTGTTGATACTGTATCTCATGTTCTAATACAGTTGTTGTTTTGAAGACACAAATTACACAGCTCACTACCCACGGCCCCCCCCCCCCAAATTTTACCCATCATTCAAATTCCAAGGGAGAGAAAAATTTTGTCTAAATGAATTTGAGGACCTCCTTCTCCTTCTGTTAATTTTTTAATGCATTAGGCACCTAACACACAAAAAAAATACATTCTAAGCATTTTACAGTTGTTTGCAAATGTTATGCTAGTGGAAGAAGCCATACAGTACTGTTTTTTAAGTCTATATCAATAAACATCACCCAGGGTAAAAACCACAGTGCTTTATCTATAATGCTTTGACTGGAGGAACTGGCATAAGATTTGTTGAGTAAAATCTCCACAAAGAATATTACTCTGGGTAAGATTCGGTGTGTATGAGTTAATAAATTTGTTGTCAGGCTGGCCCTTAGGATTACCCTTCTGTCTGAATTTTGGTTTTGTTTTCTCTCTTGTTCTTCCCTCATGAAGTTGAACCTGGAAAAAGCATCACTCTTGAGCTCGTTACTTTGATAAACTGGCCTAAGTGTGCGGCGACAATGGGCACCTCCACACAGAAGCTTTCACGGGTCTCCAGGGAATTCTGAAAAACACCAGGAAGTGTTTAGGTACTGAATCACCGCCAAGTATTCCGAATCTTTAATTTTTTTTCCTATGAGGATGTCAGCATTAAAATATAGAACCTGCTTTTCCCACTTGGTTTCTATTACTTGTAAAGCATTCAGGAGCTCATAGGCTAGAATTACTTCCTTCCCAGACAAGAGAACAGGCAAAAATTTGAAAATGCGTTAACAGTTCCTCTGCTAGTCTTTTACATTTTTGAGCCAACAATATAATAAAAATGACTAAATACTAAACCTGAGCATTGTGCTTCTAAATCCATCATATTTATCCATGCAGTGTTCTCATTTTTGGTGGTTTAGATAATGCATGTTGAAATAAATTTCACACGATAACTAGTTTGTTTTCAGATATGACGCATCCATCATCCAAATAACCAGGCAATTATGACATGGCAAACCTGTGGGATTAATGATTTGTTTTAAAGGTTGTTTAGGTTACAGTTAAAAATTAAGCTTTACTACAAAGGCAGGAAGAAATAAGATAAAAGTAATGTTTGTAAATAAGAATTGTAAACTGAAATTTGGGTGGAAATAACTTGTTTTTTCGAATTAAGCACATGTATTCTTTATGTTAGAATACCTCCGACAACCCCTTGACGGGGGCGGGGGCATGGGAACGAGAGGTAACTACATTTCCTCAAGTCTCAGCTTATCTATCTTTGCTTACCGACTGCTTTAGCATTTTTTAAAAAATCATCCCAACCATTGAACTTTGAGATATTTATCTACAAACAAACAAGCAGAAATATAGGTACGGAGATGCTGCATGCACCAAAATGTAATGTTAACAAGTTGGAGACAAGTGTCCATCAATAGGGAATGGCTAATAAATATTGATTAGAGTCATATAATTGAGATACAGAACGCTTTGCAGACATTTTGAAAAATTGAGGCGATCTGTGTACACCAGTGTGGAAGTTTATGCATGACTTAGTGTCGAAGGCAAAAAGTGTTCTACATTCAGTAAGAATAGTAAGATTTCATTTTTAAATAAGCATTCATAGATATATTTGAACATTGCTTGCATTTTTACAGCAAGAATATATTATTTGCTCACTTTATTATTTTTCAAATGATTATTTAAAGGGTCCAGAGGATACCGAAAAGCCTGTTAACAGTTAGTGTAGTGAGCATGATACGCGAGAGAGCACGCACTCACTTTCCACCTGTGTCCATTTCACTCACTTTAAACAGAAGACCCCATATCGCTTTAAACAGTACTCATTTTGTCTGTGCACTGGTTACGCAAACAATGAAAAAAAATTTTGTTTATGTGAGGTATAAGGGGATAATATTAAAATAAGTGCAAGTATCAGCGACTAGAGAAGGAAAAAGACATGAATGTCTAATTAATGAAATGTAAACTAATAATAATCATAGCGTCCAACATGGCAAAAAGGATATTTAAAATATTTCAGCTGATGGTGGGAACAGAAATCGGCATCGCCTTTATAGAAAGCATGTCTGCATTATATAGCTTGGCTTAACAGATGTTTGCGTTCTTAAATCCAATATTTCAACTTGTAAAAATTTAGCCTAAGAAAAGAGTTGATGCTAACAGTACCACTTGAAAAAGCAAAGAGTGGGAAACAGCCTAAACATCTGGTCAGAGAGGATTAGATGACTTATTATTTTCATTAATCTTACCTTGATGGATTAGAGCTAGGCATTAGGACTATGGATTAGACTTGGGCATTGTTCCATTAAGTTCCAAGGGCTTAATAAACATTCTGTCCTATACTCTTAGAACAACCCTATAAGATATACACAGTTTCTTTCTACTTTTACAGGTAAGAAAACGAAGAAAAGGGTTGTTTCATCACTTGTCTAAGATCTGCAACTAGTAAAGAGGAATGGAGGGATCAGTACAGATGGACAAGCTGCCAAAGCCTGTGTTCTTAACCAGCACCTGAATCTGTGTTCATCCGATGGGACACAGATAGCCATTAAAGATCATGGAATATCACCGACATGGAAAAATACTGGTGACTTCTTGTTCCCGAAAAATATATAATGCAGCATAGTATTTATAGTATGACGGTTCTTCAGAAGCACACATTCACATGTAAACATAGAATTTTCTAAAATTAACATGTTCTTTTTATATGACTAGAACATATACACATAAAAGAAACTTAGACATAAAAGAGGTTAGTTTTAATCACTCTGTGAATGCTTAATGCCATAAATTGGTAAGCGAAAGTAGAAGGTGCTGGAATTCCCTGGCGGTCCAGTGATTAGGACTCCATGCTTTCACTGCCAAGGGTGTGGGTTCAGTTCCTGGTCAGGGAACAAGTCTCATGGTGTAGCAAAAAGAAAAAAAAAAAATGCTTTTTTTAATGCTAAGAAAGTGCCCTGGGACTTCCCTGGTGATCCAGTGGCTAAGACTCTGTGCTCCTAATGCATGGGGCCTGGGTTTGATCTCTGGTCAAGAAACTAGATCCCCCATGCCACAGCTAAGACCCTGTATAGCCAAAAAATTAAATAAATATTCTTTAAAAAAGAAAGGGCAGGGGTACCCCAGTGTTCACTGCAGCACTGTTCACAATAGCCAAGTCTTGGCAACAACCCACATGTCCATCGACAGAGGAATGGATAAAGAAGGTGTGGTGTATATTTACACACCTGGGAAGCCCACACACACGCGCGCACAATATAGGACTGCAATATAGAAAAACACTGTCAGGGACCCTCTGAGAGATGAGATTTAATCTTTTTCATTATACTTGCAAAGACATTTTCCAAATTTTTACAATATAAATCTGGAACTTTAAGAAAAAGTGTTATAATTAATGCTTAACATTTATATGCATGATAGCTTCCCTGGCGACTCAGACTGTAAAAAATTCACCTGTGATGTGGGAGACCTGGGTTCGATCCCTGGGTTGGGAAGATCCCCTGGAGAAGGAAACGGCTACCCACTCCAGTATTCTTGCCTGGAGAATTTCACGGACAGAGGAGCCTGGCGGGCTACAGTCCATGGTGTCGTGAAGAGATGGACACGACTGAGTGACTTTCACTTTTCACATACGTAATGTGTAAATGAAGCGATACAGCAAAGCTTTTCTGTTGCACATATATTAGTATTTGTATTATGTTTGTAAAGTTGTATGTTTTATTGGAAAATTCAAAATACACAACAGTCTGACATTCGGTAAACTCATTATCCAAATTCAAGAATTACCAAGAATCGGTAAGACTGTTCTGCATTTACTACAAGTTATCAGGAAAGAGCTCGGAAGCAGGGCCAAGTTTAGAATGAGGCGAGACACTCATCTCCGGTAAAAAATTTGAGGCAACAAAAAGGTCAGTAATCAAGATTAATAATATTTTAATGCAGTATTTTTTGCCTTCAGGAAAATCGTGCCAAACATTGCAACCTTGTAATTTCTAGTAACTTTGCAATACTATCCTATCACAGGAGAGAGGAGTTTGAGAGCTAAACTTCAATCTGCCAGGGCCCTTGTTTACATCCACAGACCCCGTTTATATCCACAAGGTTTTTCACCAAATCCATCTTCCATTAGAAAGTATTGTGGGACTACATCTATCTACAGAAGGCGGCGGCGGGGACCCAGGGGGCCGCAGGGCCCCATGCTGTCTCTCTGGAGGCTCGGCCCGGACTAATTAAGCCCGAGTTTGGCGTAGGATGGCGGAGTAGAAGGATGTGCACTCATCTTCTCCAAACTACAAAACTGTTTTGGAGAACTCCAGAACTACAACTCACTGCTGATAACCGTCGACTGGAGAATGTTGGAGCCCACCAAAAAAGGATACCCCACGTCCAAGGGCAAAGGAGAAGCCCCAGCAAGACGGGAGGAGGGGTGACATCGTGTTTAGAATCAAACCCTTCCCCACCAGAGGCGCGCAGGGGGCTCAAACAAACCTTCTGCGCACCGGGACCCAGGGACCCACAGAGCCTGAGCCAGAACCGAGTCTGAGCGCCTCCCGCGGAGGCCCGGGTCAGCAGCGGCCGCCGCAGGGGCAGGGGCTCTGGGTGCCGCAGGCCTGGGCGTGGCATAAGCCCGCCTGGAGGAGGTCGTCATTAACCCGCCACAGAGCCGCCGGAACTTACCCAGGACGGGGAAACGACCCTTGGAGGGCGCAGCAGAACCTTGTGCGCCAGGCCCCAGGGGGAAGGAGCAGTGACCCACAGGAGACCGACCCGGACTTCCTGTGAGTGTCCAGGAGTCTCCCGGGGAGGCGTGGGTCGGCGGGGGCCTGCTGCGGGGCCGCGGGCACCGAGCGGGGCGGTGCGTGCCTGGGACCTTTTGAAGGAGGTCGCCATTATCTTCATTGCCTGAGTGAAAAAGTTGGCTTAAAGCTTAACATTCAGAAAACTAAGATCATGGCATCTGGTCCCATCACTTCATGGCAAATAGATGGGGAGACAGTGGAAACAGTGTCTGACTTTAATTTTGGGGGCTCCAAAATCACTGCAGATTGTGACTGTAGCCATGAAATTAAAAGACGCTTACTCCTTGGAAGGAAAGTTATGACCAACCTAAATAGCATATTAAAAAGCAGAGACATTACTTTGCCAACAAAGGTCCGTCTGGTCAAGGCTATGGTTTTTCCAGTGGTCATGCATGGATGTGAGAGTTGGACTATGAAGAAAGCTGAGTGCTGAAAAATTGATGCTTTTGAACTGTGGTGTTAGAGAAGACTCTTGAGAGTCCCTTGGGCTTCAAGGATACCCAACCAGTCCATCCAAAAGGAGACCAGTCCTGGGTGTTCAGTGGAAAGACTGATGCTGAAACTGAAACTCCAATACTTTGGCCACCTCATGCGAAGAGCTGACTCACTGGAAAAGACCCTGATGCTGGGAGGGATTGGGGGCGGGAGGAGAAGGGGACGACAGAGGATGAGATGGCTGGATGGTATCACCAACTAGATGGGCATGAGTTTGAGTAAACTCCGGGAGGTGGTGATGGATAGGGAGGCCTGGCAAACTGTGGTCTATGGGGTCGCAAAGAGTCGGACACGACTGAGTGACTGAACTGAACTGAACTGATAGGAATGCATACATGAAAAATTATTTGTGTATAAGTTATAAACTAAATATAATTACAAAAACAAGAGAGAGGTCCAGTTTATATCATTTTAGATGATGGCAACAATACACTATCAAAAATGTTAAGACTAAATTGGGAAGAATTCATTGAGGATAGACATTCAAGGTAATATTTAAAGAGTGAAGAGAGGCACATAAGTTTTCTATGTTTAGTCCCATAGGTGTTCCGGCAAACAAACAAAATTAGAAGATGGTACAATCTTTATCATGACAGAAAAAAAAAAAACCCTGCCTCTTCTCCCACTGAAAAAATACCACAAAGTTTTCATGAACAGAAAGTTCTGGTAATATTGCCATTGACATGCCCTAGCCACTGGTTTGAAACCTAAGACATTGTCTGAAATTTCCCTAGAACTTATTGACCACCAAGTAACAGATATGGAGAAAAAGGAAGCTCCCACATAATACATTTCAGAAGAAAAAGTAAATACCACTTCAGAGGTTGATCCTCAACTCTGACAATGTACTTAATATTTCCTTCACACTTCCCCCCAAATTAATATTTATACATATTAGAAATGAAGCAGACAAATTACTATTTTAACATAATTAATTTGACATTTATTCATTGTTGTGAAATTATTATTGTCACACAGTCATACTTTAGTGTGCACATGTCAATAAGGCAGGCCAAGGATGAGGATTTTAAACAGTTTCAAGAAGGAAGAGAATTAATTTTTATGATTGTTTCATAAACACTGAGTTAAGTGTCAAAGTAGCACATTGGAAGAATTCAAATGGCTTTGTAAAATGGAAGAGAAGGAAAGCCATAATTAAGCATATCAGAGAATGACTAACTATTCTTTCAAAAGAATTCCTTTGCTGAAGATTAGCAAACTTGGTTTCTGCCAGAATGTTCCAGAATGTGCACCTTCAGTGGGATGGGAGATAACTATGATTCTATTTTAATTGTTATTTTAATGTATCCTAGAAATATCACTAACATGACAAGCCTGTGATACCCCAGTCGTATTGCTCATGATGAACTTTTGTTTTAAAGGAAGTTCTTATAAATGAAAGTAAAACTAAGCCACAGTTCTCATCTGCACAGATGAGAACAGGTGGTGTGAGTACGTCGTGTCCCTGAGCATCTTTTTCCCATTTTCCTGCACACAGACTCCCAGCAGGCACCGACTTCTAGCAGCCCCACACTTGGGCTCTTTCCATTTCAAGCTGTCCAAACCAGTTTTGCCTGGGATTAGGCAGAGCTAGAAATGTCTTGGGCTTCTCTAGAGGGTGAGATGGTAAAGAATCCCCCTGCAACGCAGAAGACCAGGGTTCCATCCCTGGGTCAGGAAGATCCCCTGGAGAAGGGAATGGCTACCCACACCAGTATTTTTGCCTGGGCTACAGTCCATGGGGTCGCAAAGAGCTGGACATGACTGAGGGACAAACACACACAGAAAAATGCCTTAACCAATCCCCTTCCCTGATGACCAAGTGCAAGGATATAAACCTGCTTCATCCAATAGAAACATAATGCAATCCATCTCTGTCACTTGAAATTTTCTATTGGCTACTTCTTACAAAAGTAAAAATAAACAGGTGGAAATAATTTTGATTATGCATTTCATTTAGTCCATTACAGCAAAAATATACCATTTCA